TCTTTTTTTTTTTCTGCGGTTGGCGGTCCAGAACCGCACAGGGAAAGGTATGTTGAGGGTATGTTGGGGTCATGGTTTGGGGATGGCCGTTCTTTCGTTCATGTGTGTTTTTTTCTCGTTATTGTTTATACCAACGTACAATGTAAGTTATCTGTTTTTCATGTCAGAAAACTGCTGGTTTTTCAATTACTTTCCATAAATCCATGGAGGTATACTATAGTTATTATAACGCTCTCTCACAGATTATCAAACTATCGTCAACTTTACTATGAGTGATCTCAAAATAGTCTCCCTTAATGTTAAGGGAATAAATAATGTGATCAAGACAAAAGATCCTGACATTCTTGGAAAAAAAAAAAAAACACACAAAAATAGCATTATTGTCAGAAACCGACTTAACTGACAATGAGCAACTTAAACTGAGGAGGAATTGGGTGGGCCAGGTGTTTTACTCATCACATAACTCTAAGAGTAGAGGAGCTGCCATACTAATACACCGGGGTCTTCCCTTTACTTTGGAGAAAACTATGAGCGACAATGATGGTCGATATGTTCTTATCTCAGGTTATCTTATGGAGAACACATCTTAATAGGTTGCATATATGGTCCAAATATATACGAGGCTACTTCTGCCGGACATTGCTCTGGTACACCAGTGGCACAACTGCACATTATTTAGGTGGATGCGAAGACATAAATCTTCGCATCCACCTGATGCGAAGGGAGGAAGAAGGAAGGAACGTCACAAACCAATGAGAGATTACACTTTTTTTTCTCAACCCCATCAAACGTTCTCTCGGATTGATTTCTTATCTTCCAGAATGGTATTGGACCGAGTTACAAACTGTTCAATTAGCACATGTACAATCTCCGATCACTCTCCTGTTATTTTATGTATTAGCCCCTGTGACAGCTGACCCTACTGTCACACAGACCTAAATGGTAATCGTTTTGTTTATCCTTAACATTAATTAGTGAATAGTTTAGATTTTTATTTTTAAAAATTGTTTTCATTAGTCTGACTTTTTAGTTAACTATTTGCAGTGCACACATTTAGTTAACTTTATTTGTCAGTTCTTTATATTTTTGTTAAATGCAACAAATTAATTTATTTGTTTTGAGTTACCAGTTTCCTTTGGAGCTGCTGGAGGGTCAGAAGAGCTCCAGCTAATTGAAGTCCTTATATGGCTGGCAAACCTCCTCAGCGGGTTAATCCATCTGTTTGCCAGGGGACGAGGAAATTTGGTTTTCTTCAATTTAATTTGACTATTTCTTTAATGTTTCTTTTATTTGGTAGTTTCATTCTAATTTTTGTTTAATTTAAATATTTGGTATTGTATTGATTAGTATTTGTTTAAGTTTTTGTATGTTTAATTACCCCTTGTGTGTCAGCAGTGGTTTGATCAGCCACTATTTAAGTTCCCCTCATGTCTTGTTTGTTAGGTCGGTTTTGTGCTCGAGTTCTTTGGGTTACTACCCGAGTTGTAGTTTATGTTGACCTCAGTTTTTGGGCCCAGTTCTTCATTGTTTAATTATTTTTGAACTTTTTTGTAATAAATTAAGATTATTTTTGGATTCCATTCAGCGTCTCTCTGGCTGGTTTATGCAAGAACCCTCACAGCCCCCCTTATGCTCATCCTGCTTCTCGCCACTGGAGGATGAATCCCTCTTTACTGAGCTACCTATCTTTTATTGACTACATTACAGATCAGTGGAATTTCTTTATGGATACTAATATGTCAACCCTTCGTTACTCTGGGAGACAGCTAAAGCTTTTATTAGGGGATGTGTCATTTCATATACCACAGCTCAGAAAAAAGCTGCCATCAAAGAACAATTACACTTAGAAGGAATAGTACAACAAACAGAGTTGCAATTTAAAAATACACCCTCTAGAGCACTGTCTAAAAAAATTAGAAACCGTTCGCTCAGCTTTAAATCAATTACTAACAAAACAAGCAGAATCAACCATTTTCTTTGCTAAACACAGATTATATCAGTCAGGGACAAACCGGGACGGCTACTAACAAGACTAACAAAAGGCAGAATGGAAGCAAACACAATTTCATAATTACAGGACAACAACCAGGACAAACATCATAAAACGACAGATATCAATAGGGTTAAGAGGGAATTCTATCAAAAACTGTATTCATCTGAATGCAATTCATCCGATGTTAAAATAACGGAATTCTTAAGTGGTGTGACTCTCCCTCGCCTGACAGAGGAACAACAAGAAGTCTTAGGTGCTCCAATCTCTCAGATAAAAGTCAGAGAAGCCATCGCTTCCCTTAAGGGTGGAAAAGCTCCTGGACCTGATGGTTTCTGTCCAAAATTCTATAAGAAACTAAGCCACCTGGTGGTAGGACCACTTACTGAAATGTTTGTGCACTCGTTTGGGCATGGAGGCTTGCCACCAACTCTTAACCTGGCAAACATCAACCTTATCCTCAAAAAAGATAAACCACCAGACATCTGTGTATCTCATATAGACCTATTAGTCTTATCGGGGTAGATGGTAAGCTGCTCTCTAAATTACTTGCAACGAGACTGGAGAAGCTGCTGACTTTCTTAATAAACCCAGATCAGACTGGGTTCATACAAAATCGTTTCTCCTTCACAAATATGAGGAGATTACTTAACATAATTCAGTACTCAAGCCAAACGAACTGTATAGCCTTTGCTGTATCTTTAGATGCTGAAAAGGCATTTGATAGGATTGAGTGGAAGTACTTATTTAATGTTTTGGAGAGATTCGGGATAGGGGGTGATTTTCTGAAATGGATCAAGATACTTTACAGTTCCCCATCAGCCTGTGTCATGACTAATGGTGTTCAATCTCCATCTTTTACAATACGTAGGGGAACCCGACAGGGTTGTCCTCTTTCCCCGCTTCTGTTCGCTCTTGCGCTGGAGGCCCTAGTGGTTATTAGGTCACAACAAAATGTGCATGGTGTGATGATTGGCGGTAAAATCCATAAAATAGCGTTATACGCAGATGATATTCTGTTGTTTGTAACAAAACCTGACATCTCAATACCAGCTAGCTTATCCACTATTCATGAGTTTGGTTCCTTTTCGGGTTATAAAATCAATTTTGATAAATCAGAAGCAATGCCATTAGGTATTGCTACTGTCCAGGACCTACCCTCCAGCTGTTCCCTGAGATGTTCCCAACATGGCTTCACTTACCTGGGAATTAAGGTGGCCCCTAACCTGACAGAACTATGGAAGCTTAATTTCTCTCCAACAGTGAGTAAAATAAGGAGGGACTTAGAAAGATGGCATGACCCTCCCTTATCATTTATGGGGCATATAACTTTAATTAAAATGAACATTTTCCCACGGCTTTTATATCCCCTCCAAATGTTACCACTTTGGCTATCCAAAAAAGTCACTACGGATATAGAGAGGACATTCTCCAGATTCATCTGGCCTGGCAAGAGACCACAACAGAAAATCAAAGTTTTAGTGCTTCCTGTTGACAGAGGTGGCTTGGCTTTGCCAAACATCTACTATTACAATTGGGCTTGGCATTCTCGTTATCTGTGGGAGTGGTTACAGGCTCATCTTAACTCGAACTCTTGCCTCGATTCGTGGGCCTCTCAGCCTGCTTCTTTGTGGAGCCTCACCACCGGAGATAGGAAGAGGCCATCAAGAGATATTAAAAATAATCCAGTTATTTCTAACACAATTAGAGTGTGGCAGAGAATTTGGAACCACGCAGGAGGTGGGCCCTGCTCCTCACTCCTGACACAAGAAACCAGGACTTTATCCCAGGCCTTGAGCCCAACATGTTTGACCTGTGGCATAGCAGAGGAGTGAGAGTGATCGGAGATCTGTTTACAGAGAATGTACTCATGACATTTCAACAATTGCAGTTAAAATTTGGTATTCCTAAAGAACACGTTTTTGGTTTTCTTCAAATTCGCCATTTCATTGGTTCTATGAGGCTCTTTCATTCTGGCTTGGTCACACACAATGAGATTGAGAAATTCCTTGTCGACCGGAAAAAACTTAGGCATTTTATTTCCGCTTTCTATGCAGTGCTCTACTCTCTCAACCCTGGTGGTGCCGGGGGACATTGCACGGAAATGGGAGGGAGACCTTGACACGGTTTACATTTGATGATGACTGGCAAGAAGCCATTAATGTAGTTAATTCAACCTTTATATGTAATACGCTCCGAGACACACAGTATAAAATACTACATTGTCTACATATAACACCTTGTATACTGAATAAGATGGATCGCCAGCTTTTTCCCTTATGCAACTAATGTGGAAGAGAGGTTGGAACGTACTATCATTATTTCTGGCAATGCAAATTGATTAAAAGATTCTGGGGTGCACTGTCCCTTCTCCTGCCTTCTGGCCTCATGCGCTATTTCCAAATTATGATGCCTCATGTACCTCCAAATTTTTGTAACTATTAACACAAAACCCTCAGTACATGAACTACTTCTCAGTGAAACACAGGTAAAAATGTTGTTAAAGGGTTAATAGAGGAGTTTCAGAAAGAGCAGGAGCTTCTTAAAGAGACAGAAACCCAATTTCATGGCACAAATTGATCAAGACATGTTTTTAAGTCATATTTTATGACTTATAATTTTAATAACTGAAGGTAACGCAGTTGGTTGATTGTGCTACTAAAGGATTCTGTGTGCCTGTTAAACCTATGCTACTGTCCCTTTAGCCATCTGACAGCTGCTGTGCCATTCCAGCAGGTCTCAGCCTCTCCATTCTCAGGTTTACCTTTTAGTCTCTAATGATGATTAATGTGGACTGCACGCTTATTGGCAGCATTGTGCTATTGGCATACTGACAGCACTGTTGAGATGAATAACTATGCAAGGGTGCTGATACACTTTAGTCAGGTCCTTTTTTTGGGGGGGGGAGGAGGGGGGTATTTTTCTGTGAAATCTATTGATTCTGCATCTGTTAAACTGTGAAAAATGGATTTGTGGAAAAGGCTTGTAAACCACATCTAAATTACTCCAGGAGATGGTCCGTCGGGGGGAGATCCTGGACGACAGCATGGAGGATGAGTTCTACCTTCGCCGTCTAGACGCTGGACTGTTTGTTCTGCAGCTGCTGTGCTATATTATGGTGGAGATCAGCAGCTCAGGGGTCTCACAGGTACACACACACACACACACACACACACACTATCTGGCTTTTTAAATGAGTTTTCTCACCAATCAATTATCATTAAGGCTTTCGATCACGCAGCCTGTGGAACTGGACAGCCGTCAGATTGTTTGTATGGTTGTTTTACTCAATTAGCTCACACACCACTCACCTAATCAGAGCTAACTGAACTTGTTGATGGCTACTTTTGTTTATGAAACATTTTGTATTCTTTTTTTTATTATTATTTTGATCCTGTACATTGTATGCTTTTTAAAGTAAAGTAAAAAATCATTAAGTTCTTTAATTCTTCTTTATTAGACCAACAGTTGGTCTGATATTGACCAAGCCTCCGTGTTTTTATTAGTTCTATTGATCAGTTGGTGCGTGTCATTGAAGTGAAATTGAAGAAGCAGTTCTGCTCACTTTGTGTGTCAGGAGATGCAAATGACACCGATGCAGCATATTTCACACATTCAAAAAGATGGTACACATTGTTTACATATTTAGATTCTTATTTTATTTGAGTCTCAACTGCTTATAAAAGCAGCTCATCACTTTTAAAAAAAAACTATTCAGCTGGTTTTTAGCAATGAGTTGATGTTTATTGGTGTTTGAAAATGAGCTGTTTCAAAAGTTTTCCTATTGTTCAGTCACAACCTGTGGGCACTGCGCTGTTGCTTACCAACCCCAGCTGAGCTCCAGCTGGTTTTACTGCATTTTACAATGGAAAAGACAAATGTTTTGTGGTTGACTCATCTAGAAACCACTTGCTGAATTCTTATATCTGGTTGGTTGTGCAGGAGGTTCCTGCACAACCAACCAGATGTACCTTCTTGTACATCTGCTTTTCAAAGATGTACAGTTGCATAGTTGCACATCTGTTTGCAACCATTTTCAGGTGCAAGTGTAAACAGTGAGTTGATAGCGGGGTGGCCGGCAGTAGCTTATTTGGATTTTAAGTGACAGGAGGCCCTAAAACAGCTCAATCTGAAAGGAGCTCAAAATAAGCAGAACTGAGCAAACTGAAATCTCTTGATCTAAGAATGATTTTATGCACACAAAAAAATCATTCTTATATTGCCTAAGAAATCTAAGAATGATTTCTTAGATTTCTAAGAAATCTAATGTTCAACACAAACATTTTATTGAACATGTTTTGTATAGCACATAGACATATCCTAATCTGTTCAAGGAACAAGATTCTGGTCCACTGGAACAATTTATAGCTGAAATGAGAACTTAAAGCATATGTAATAAAAAAGACTGACTGAATACTGAGTGTCAGCTGGATTAATATTATATAATTAACACAAAAAAGTAAGGACATTTGTGCTTGGTCATTTGTTTCCTTATTTTAACTGTGCTTTTGGAAATAAATTTCATATCATTGTAAAGATGGCTTTTGTTACTTTAAATGGTGCCACACTGGTGAGGACAATTAATTCTGGGTTCAGGATGTTGGTTGTGCCAATGAAACTCTCCCACGACATGTTGAACATGTTGGTGTAAATATGCTGAAATTTTCATATTAATTTAAATGTTGTCATATCATTTGTGATATGGAATTGCCTAGATTCTATTATGATTTTTATAGCCTATGATCATTTTTACCAATGGATATCGAAATTTTTTTTCAATGCATGTTGGACAGGAAATTAATGGAGAACTAAAGCATGTAAACAAAATGCAGGAAGTCAGGGTCACTTTATTTACATTTATAAAAACTAAATAACCAGTATTTCTCTATTACCAGTATTGCACGTCAATACTTTAATGTTTTGATATGGCTTCTGAAGATTTCCAGTGAGGGAGATGCTAATGTCTCACCAGATGTTGAATGTGGGAGCGTTGGCAACACTAGCTTTTATGCTAACAGCTAGTCAGTGAAGGCACTAAATAATACATAGACAGACCTGGAAGTTACTGTTCATTTTTTCTGTGCCAAGCAAGCTGCAGAGGCTAAAGCAGCTTAACTCAGAAAACAGATACATTTTTTTAAAAAGTCCTTAACAATAATTTTGTTTTTGTTTTTTCTTTCTTCTAGCTGCAGCAGCGGGTTCATCAGATTCTTAATATAAGAGGAGGCTCGGTCAAAGTAGTGCGGCACATCATGAGGGGTGAGTACAGCTCAGTGTCTGCTAGCCAGTCCTGGAATGTTTTTCACAGTCTCTCTTTTACTAATTCAGTGTTTCAGTTCTGTTTCATTCTGTTTTCTAAAGTCACTCAAACACATAGAGATGCTTCCAATGCAGTGTTTTTCTCAGTGATGATCATGCTGCCTCTGAAGGAGATTCCTCACACCTTCACCCCTGTAAGAATTCCCTCCTTTAGCATTAAATTATGTAAAATTATGGTGTCATGGAAGTTTCTGCATGTTTACTGAAAAGCCGCAGAACAATGTTAGACTATTTCGTTTCTTTGCACCGACACCAATGATATAATTGCTTCATTTTAGGGCTGCAGCTACCAATTACTTTAGTAAGCAACTACTCTGATGATTAATCGAATAATTGATTGATCAAATAGTTGATTAATCAAGAAATGTATTTGATTAATCCATTACTTGATTAACCAATTACTTGGTCATTAATCAAATAAGTGATTGTCAAATGAACATTCTGCAGATATACAAGTAAAATGAAAATAAACACATAATTCAAGTCATTTATAAGAACATTTAATGCCTAAAATCCAGTAAAAACATTTCTTTAATGAACATTTGATCATTTGTAGCAAAGGATGAATTTTTAACATGATGTGAAAAGCTCTGGAGCTTTTCTGCTGCTTGACTTAACATCAATACTGTGTAGAGCTGATCTGTTGACTACCATTTTCGATTAACTGATCAGTAATTGGACCATAAAATAATTTGAACCAGCCAAAACACATCAGGTTCTGGTTTGGACGGATTTATGGACAAAAAAGTTGTTGTTTTTTTATCTTAAGTCCAAAATGTTTATAATGTTGGTACGATTTTTACTTATTTCAGCTGGGAATGTGGTGTTCTTTCAGGAAATTGACTTTTTTTGAGCCTCTATACTCTAGTTAATGGTTTCTACATTAGTTGATGATAATCTCAATAATCAAATAATCGTGATTAATCTGATTAGATGTTTCAGCCCTAAAATCCATGCCATACTTTTTAAAGAATGAAAATACGTTTCCATGGTGCTGTATACATTTTTCTGCTCTCCAATGTTCATAGTAGCCATGCAGTACACATCTTGTGTGTGTATAGAGACCTCACAGATGGAATGCATCACTGAGGCAGATCTGAAGTGCCTACAGTATATAAGATACAGATGGAAAAATAAAGATGTAATGCTAGTAAACAGTGAAATACATCCAGGCAGGAGCGCTTATTGGTTTTTATCCACATTGCCGGCATTCAGATGATAAAACTCCACACTCAGACACTTCCTGGCATGTATATTTGCACTGCAGTGTAATCACAGCCTCTGTGTGAGAGCGAAACAGACTGCATTCTGCTTTAAGAGTCCCTGTCCTGCCATATTTGGTTTGTGTTTGCGTTTGAAGAGATGCAGTAGCAGGTGTGTTGTTTTTGTCCCTACGCGACATCCATCCTTCCTGTTTAATCGCTGGGTACAGCTTGAGGACGACACTCCGCTCACACACACCCTCCGGCCTTTGCGGCGTGTAAACGCAGTAGATGGAGTCATCCGTCACACTCGCCAGCGAGCGTGGCGCCTCTCCAGTCTTCAGAGTGCCGCCGTGTTTGTGCACACACACGGAAAACCTGTTGTTGTTGCTTCAGTGTTCATCTGCATATTTGCACACACTTGTGCCTGGCTTGTCCACACAATGTTTTCACTTGGGTGTATAAATGGGTTTCATTGTATTAATTACATATTTATGTTTCCACTCCTGACCTTTTTTCAGTGTAGGTATTTCATTCAGATGGCGTTTACTATTGAAACGAGGGTTCGGCCCAATATCAAGAAATTATGACGTCATTCTCATCTCTCCGATATAAAGAATATCGCTGATGACATGTTCGGTTGCGCAGGTATTTTATTTTAAATCAAGTGCTGCCACTTCTGCAGACTTCAAGTGGTATAATTGGAGAAAACAAATTTCTGCCTAGAAGTAATTTTAAAATTCCCTCATGTCAGAAAACAACTCAGTCATAATTTTAATAACAGTTCAAAATATTTAGAGATGCACCCATCAGATATCAATATCTGTATCTGTGCTGATATTGAAAAAAGTTCTAGATCTGATATTGTTGACAATGTGCCGGATCCATAAGGACAGATCTATTAGTCTAATTCTATGCTTTATTTATTTTACATTATTTTACATTATATTTAGAATTCCTAATTGATGTTTTTGAACCATTTGAAAGATTTGTTGTAGTTTATTTTTATGAATATAGTCAACCTATTGTTTTTGTCAGTTTCTTTATTATTTATTTTCCATTGCCTGTTTTACTCCTAAGCACACTGACTGATCAAATTAAAGTTGTTTTTACATGTTAGCTTGTGAAGCTACTGGTTTATTTCAATGTACTGTACTGGAGCAGAGTATCAAGTACGTTTGTAATTCAGTACATATTTGTGTGTCTTGAAACACACTTAAAAAGGAACATTTTAAGTCAGTTCAGCTGTTTTTCTGTATCAGATTCAGTACTAAACCTTAGATATCGGTATCAGAAGTGAGAAAGGCGAATCTGTCTGTGCTTCTATACCAGCTGAGAACCAGAGCATGTGATCGTTTGAATATATTTCTGCTCTTCCGGCCCGCAGTGAGTCCTCAGCCTTTCCAGAAGGCCAACGTGTGCAGACTTTTCCCGTTTCAAGTGACCTACCTGGTCAACTTGAAATTGCAGGAAAAGGTTAAGCACATGCAGAGTGTTCCACTAACCGAGTTGTTTTGACCCTTAATGGCTTTAGCTCACCAAATTTAAAGCTGCACCGCAGGAAGAAGACTGCTCAGCTCCAGGTGATGGCGTGAAACCCCTCTGTGGTGTTTTATATAACCTGAGACTCGATTTCACTGAGTTTCTTTTTCTGAGGATGAGAATAACATCCTGTGGGCTTTAATGGCACAAACTTAGCAGATTGAAGGCTAACTGTTGCAATGTAACAGTTGATCTCACACATCACTTATGCTGAAGTTCAGAGTCTGAGCTGAGGTTTTGACAGGAAGGTGACAGAAACATGTTGCATGTGATTCTTTTCACCCTGCAAAGCTTCACAGTTTCTTACGACTGAGTTGCTTAAAGTTCTTCCTTTCTTTATATCAGTCTTTTTTTTAACGTCATTGTTCAGAGATGGTGACCAGGGTTTAAGATTTTGGCTCGAGTTACAAAATCTTCAGACTTAGTTTTCATTGTAAAGTGGTGTGATAAGTAGCATTGAGTCCAGCTATTGCAACTTCCCAAACTACTTTTTTTTCTCCAGATATTTTAGATAATATTTGGAAAAATTTTCCAATAGGAGGATTTTCTTGAAATAACTTGGAGATACAATCCACAGAAAAATAACAGTGACTAGGCCGGAGATCACTGTATAATAGAGGTGTGCCGATCGATCGGTCACCGATCATAATCGGGCCAATTTTCGTGAAAAAGTGCATGATCGATGATCTATCTTTTACCGGTACCGATCACCTACTTCTCATTTCGCAGCCTGCCTGTGCAGCTGGTCTCCTCTTTCTTTCACTCTGCGCAAACGCGCAGCAACAAATCCTAAGATGTGTAACTATAACGCACTGAGTGAAACGGGAAGTTTGCTGCGTGTTGCTGCGGAAAATTGAAGCAGGTCAAAATGCATCAACACAACGAAGCTAATACGACATAAAAACAATGCCATACTTGACGGA